CTACTGCTGTTTCTTCACAAGATATTGCCATTTCCACTGCAAAATCTCCTACAGAATTTAGCAAATGGAAAAAGTAGTAGGGGAGGAAAAAATTGACAGCCCAAATATGGCAGCATTTGATGTGAATTGTGGCAGAGATCCTATGGAAATAAAATTACATAATAAGTGAAAAATAAAAAGATAAATTGCCCAGCAAGGATATCCCCAGAGGGCTTATGATGTACTTCAGAAATGGCACCAAGGGAAATAATCAGTTATGAGTCAGCACTCTCTAAACACTTACACGGGTAAATTTTTAGATCCAAGATGATCTTAAGTTAAATGGACCAGGTTTTAGAGTAACTGATGGATTGGGTTTCCCATACTGTCTTTGTATCATGTGCTCCAATTATGTACTTGAGAGATGATGCTGTAAGGAAAAGAAGTTCTCTTTTTGCATTGCCACCTAAAGGCAGTCAGATAGTCATTAATTTCAGGCAGTCATTCATTTCTTGACAGCACTTAATGTCTACGACTTGAAATCCTGAGACTGAATGACACCCTTATTAAGATTAGCATAGTTATTAACAAGTGAGTCCAAAGAAAAGCTGGCAGAGGGCAAACCAAATATAAACCAGCCTGCTGGCCCAGTGCAGATGTCAGAAAACAATGAAGGTGGCCCAGAAGACGTTTATTTTTAAACTTCATGTTCTTATACTCCTAGAAATGACCAGGAAGACAGAATTATATAACAGTTTAAGAATGTAAGATTTGGATACAGAATTTTTTTAAATTGAAGGATAATTGACATATTAGTTTTAGTTGTGCAATTGTACAATTTTATATTTGTATATACTGCAAAACAATAACCACAATGTCTAGTGAACATCCATCACCTCACATAATTTTTTTCCTGTGATGAAACCTTTCAAGATACACTGTTTTAATGACTTTGTTGTACACAATACACTATTATTAAATATACTCACCAATCTGTACATTATATCCCCAGGACTTAATAATTTTTAACTGGAAGTTTGTACCATTTGATCCCCTTCATCTATTTCATCCACTCCTATACACCTCCTGCCTCTGGCAATGACCAGTCTGTTCATATATCTATGTGTTCAATCCTCTACTTTTTAAATTTTTTTGACTCCACATATAAGAGATCATATAGTATCTGCCATTTTCTATCTGACTTCACTGAGCAAGGTCCATCCATGTTTTCCCAAGTGGAAAGATTCCCTTTTATCGCCAAATATTTTCTATATACATTTATATGTGTATGTGTCTATATATATATATATGTGTGTGTGTGTGTATATCCATTCATCCATCATTGGACATGTGGGCTGCCTTCTTTTTTAGGCTATCTAAATAATGCTGCAGTGAACATGTGGGTACATATAACTTTTAAGAGTGTTTTTTTATTTTTTTCCCAGGAGTGGAATTCCTGGATCACATGGTAGTTCTATTTTTAATTTTTTCAGGAAATCCCATAATTTTTCCAGAGTGACTGAAAATTTACATTCCCACCAGCAATGCATAAGGATTCCCTTTTCTCCACTTCCTCACCAATATTTGCTATTTCTTGTCTTTTTGATAATAGCCATTCTAACAGGTGTAAAGTAATAGCTCATTGTGGTTTTAACTTGCATTTCTTGGATGATTAGTGATGTTGAGCACCTCTTCATACTGGCCATCTATATGTATTCTTTTGAAAAATGTTTATTTAGATCCTCTTGCCATGTTTTAATCAGATTGTTTTTCTGCTGTTGAGTTGTATGAGATCTTTATATGTTTTGGATATTTGCCCCTTATCAGATATATGATTTGCAAATATTTTCCATAAATTACATTTTCATTTAATTGATGATTTCCTTTGCTGTGCAGAAGCTCTATAGTTTGATATAGCCCCATGTGTTTATTTTTGCATTTGTTTCCTTTGCTTTTGTTGTCAACTACAAAAAATCATTCCCAAGATCAGTGTCAAGGAGAGTGCCATTGGTTTTCTTCTAGAAGTTTTATGGTTTCAGGTCTTACATTCAGATGCATGGTGTTAGATAGTGGTCTAGTTTATATAACACCATTTGTTGAAGACTGCCTTTTCTCTATTGCATCAATATATTCTTGGCTCCTTTGCCATAAATTGATTGTATACATGTGTGTCTCTGTCTCATTCATTTATCTGCTTTTATGTCAATACCATTACTATTTGATTATTATACCTTTGTAATATAGTTTGAAATCAGGGAGCATGATAACTCCAGCTTTGTTCTTTCTCAAGATTGCTTTGGCTATTTTGGGTCTTTTGGTTCCATAAAAATTTTAGGATTCTTTGCTCTATTTCTGTGAAAAATGCCTTTGGAATTTTCCTAAGGATTACATTGAATCTGTAGATTGCTTTAGGTAGTAGGGACATTTTTATAATATTCCTATAATTCATGAACATGGAATATCTTTCCATTTATTCATGTCATCAATTTATTTCATCAATTTCTTACAGTTTCCAATGTACAGATCTCACCTTCTTGGTTATATTTTTTCCTAGGTATTTTGTTCTTTTGATGCAGTTGTAAATAGGATTGCTTTCTCTGATAGTTTATCATTTGTGTAAAGAAATGTAACAGATTTTTGTACATTAATTTTGTATCTTGAAATTTCTTTTACTTTGTTGCTTAGTTCTAAGTTTTCTGGTAGAGTCTTTAGGGGTTTCTATATATAATATGTCATCTACAAAAGTTTTATTTCTTCCTTTATAACTTATATGCCTTTTATTTCTTTTTCTTGCCTACATCCTTGTTCCTGATCTTTACTATGTTGACAAATGTTCCCTCTCTAACCACTTCGTTGAAAGTCTTTTTCATAAATGCATGTTGAATTCTGTCAGTGCTTTTCTGCATCTATTGAGATTAATTATGAGTTTTAAGCCTTCATTTTGTTACTGTGGAAAATGAGACTGATTGATTCTCAGATGTTGAAACAAGCTTTCATCCGTGAAATCCCATTTGATTATGATGTATTATCCTTCTAATGTATTGATGTATTCAGTTCGCTAATATTTTGCTAAGGATTTGTGCATATGTGTTTACATCTGGTTTTGATATCAGAGTAGTATTTATGCTCAGCTCAGTCACATCCTATTCTTTGCGACCACATGGACTATAGCCCACCAGGCTCCTCTGGCCATAGAATTTTTCAGGCAAGAATACTGGAGTGGATTGCCATTTTCTACTCCAGGGAATAGTCCCAACCCAGTGATCAAACCCTTGGAAGGCAGATTCTTTACCACTGTGCTCCCTGGGAACCCACTGGAGTAATAATACTGACCTCATAAAATGAGTTTTGAAGTATTCCTTCCTCTTCTATTTTTTGGAAGAATTTGAGAAGGATCAGGCTCCCCAGGTGGTGCTGGTAATAAAGAACTTGCCTGCCAATGCAGGAGACCTAAGAGAGACAGGTTCGATCCCTGAGTCGGGAAGATCTATGGGAGGAGAGCATGGCAACCCACTCCAGTATTCTGGCCTGGAGAATCCCATGGACAGAGGAGCCTGGCGGGCTGCAGTCCATGCGGTTGCAAAGAGTCGGACACGGCTGAGCACACACACAGGAGCCACTCAGCTGCTTTGGTTTTTTTTTTTCCTGGAGGAAACTGTCCCACGTGTCGCTGTTGATTCACCAAGTGTATGAGCAGCAGTGAGTTCACGACCTTCCTATAATACTCTTAAATCAGAACCCCCAAATGGGTTTTAATATCAGTCTGTCCTCTTACTGCTTTTGGGAACTTTATCAGCCTCTGTGCCTCTGTCTTCTCATCTATTCAGTGAAAATACCTATTTCCCACTTGTGACCACTGAACAGAATAAAATGTACTTAGCATATGGTAAGCACTTATAAAAAATAAGCATCAATTGGATGGGGATAATAGATGCTAACAAATAAATTATCAGACATCTGAAGTTCATCACTCACAGAGCCCAACCCCAACCTTACCTAGATTCTCTGCATTGTGCCAAGGTAAGGAGGAGATCTAAGGGGGGGGGGATAAGTATCCTACCTTCCTGCCAGCATATTTCCATGTTTTTAATGATTCTGTTTTGATCACTTTTGCTTAAGATTCATATTAAAAAGAACTATATTAAGTCAGGGAAATATGTTTTCTGTTTACTTTTTGCATTAAAGATTTTAGTTTTATAAAGCTGAAATGAATGACTAAATAAGGATTGAGCAAATTCTCCTTGAGCGCCTGCCATCCCAAGGAGGTAAAGCATGTCCCCCGTGCCCCGGGCACCCTTGGCCAGGAAATGCTCTGACAGCGCCACCCAGCAGGACATGCTGCCAGCAGTGAAATGTTTCCTATAGCTGTGCTGGCCACCATGGTGCTCCCAGTCATATGTGGTTACTGAGCACTTGAAATGTGGTCTGACGGAAGAACTGAGGTTTTAAATTTTAGTTAAACGGAAACAGCCAAATGGGTCTAGTGGCTGTCACTGGACAGCACAGGTCTATCAGTTAACATAGTGATGTATTCTTAAGACAGACTGATCACTTGAATCGGGTGAAACAAAGTAGTTGTTATAATCTTTTTATTTTTGATAAGCAAGTCAGAGAATGTCAATCCTGCTTTTAAATGTGAATAAGACCTTTATACTTAGAAAAAGAAGGCCTTCTGTAAGATTCTAGGATTCTCTTAAATACTCATAATTTGAAATTCAGTCCTTGACCCAGCAATCTGAGATGGTTGTTTCTCACAAAAAAAAAAAAAAAAAGATTAAATTAGGATGTATCCTGCAACTGTTACTCAGGAAATACATGGTATGTGAATTATTAAATAGTTAATTCTGCAAGGAGTGGAAAATGCATTTCTAGCCCTGTATGTGATGCAATGATTCATAGGAATCTGTTTCCCACAGTTCTATTCTTCTACTGCTTTTTCTTTAGTTAGAAGGAATGAAAGAAATTGTAAAGCTCAAGGGAGAATGTTTGCTTATGATATACTTTTATTATTGTTTCCCAAGGTAAATTGAAAGAATGGTCTCTGGTCCTCTATGGCACCTCTGTGCAGCCATACTCCCCCACCAATGAGTTTCCTAAAGTGGAGCGTGTCCGGTACAGCCGAGTGGAAGACCCCACCGACGACTATGGGATGGAGGATTATGCAGGTGAGCTGGCTTCCGGTGAGAAGGCAGGCTAAGGAAAAAGCTCATGCATCATTCCCCCAAGGAGACACACTTCTACTCATATTGTGATCTATTTTAATCCACCCTCCTATCCCTTAAACATATTTGTATGTGTACATATATTCAAATATCAATGTTTCTTCTTCAAAACTAAAATCACACTGTATATAAAATGTTCATATCCTTTTTTCCCATTAAAGATATTAAGAGCATATTTCCCTGTTGTCAAATATCCTTAGAACACATATTTAAAAGATAGCATCATCGTCCATCCTGTGATTGTATTACATTTAATCCATAATCTGGGATATGTAGTTTGCTTTATATTATTTTTTACACTATTTTAAATACAAGCTCAATGAATATCATTATCAGTTTTTGACTCTAGCATCTTTAACTATTTCTTTAGAATAGAGTTCTAAGAATTTCCACATCAAAGGGAAGCATCAGTTTTAGGGCTTGGGTATGTCGCTTTCCAGACAAGATGTACTAGTCCACACCATGACCAGTGATGAGTGTTACTGCCCTCATTCCTGCCAGCTTTGAGTGGAAAGAAGAAAGCAAAAGAACAGATCTAAATTTTTACAGCTTTGACTGCTAGGAAAGCTAAACATTTTTTTCCTTTGTAGTTGAGTTCACTTTTCAATTCAAAGTGGCAGCACTTTTCTTACTTATAAAAACTCTTTGTATGTTATTGACTCTCGCATTGTCTCAAATTTGCTGAAAACCATTTCTCTCATCACCTGCTTCCAAAATGCAGTTTTTCTTTGGAGGGCAGAGTTTATAGTTTCATATAACCTTTATAATTTCTTTTATACAGAATGTTTATTCTTTAAAAATAAATATCCACATGCATAGTTTTGTAATCTGATTTTACATTTGGCCATTAACTCATCTAGAACTTACTTTGATTTATAATATACACTGTAAAGTGATGTTCTGTCTCTGTCTTCCAAATAGACTAATGACTGAGTTGTCATCCCTACTTTTATTAGATTGTTTCCTTTATAATAGCACAGTAAGTTCTTATACCAGGGTCTCTTCTGGTACCACTTTTTCTGATTTATCAATCTAATAATACTTAATCCAGTAGCACCCACAATATATTAATATGCTGAACATCTACTTATTCTCATAGCAATTCTTAAGTCCCCCTTTAGAAATCTCATTGAAATTTAGTTTGAATTTACATGCAATCTCATGGGAAGAATGGTTTTTACAGTTTACAGTCTTTCCATCCAAAACAGACTTGTTTTACTGAAATCCTTTAATTTTATGAAGTGTTTTTCTTGGTAGTGTTATTTCTACATATTTTGGGTCTAGTTACTACTGTAATGGAAAACATTCCATATTTTCTAACTACTGTATTCTGGTATCAGAGACATCTAGTGGCTATTGTATGTTTACCTTACATCTGACCATTTCACTTAACTTTATTTGTTGTATTTTAGAGTTGATTTTCTGGAGCAGTTAGGTAGTGTAGCTGTATCATCTGCAAATTATCTTTTCTCTTTCCCAGTGTATTTGTGAGTCCTGTCTTATTGTATTGTTTACCACTTCCAGCAGCATTCACTTCTTCTGGGATGTAACACTTAACGGAAAAGGCTTTCCCTAATGGAGAACTGTTTTTAAATATCAGCTTATTGTACCCTTAGACCGGGACCATCTTGTCTTCCTGCAGCTAAGCTCTCTGCGATTCTTTTTCATTAATCACTTTGTTTTTCAGAGTATTTAAAATATGCGTTTGGCTCCTTTTATTCTGAACAGGTAGTATCCCAGTGTCAATAAGCAACTTAGAGAACTCAGACCAATTGAACTAACCAGAGCCAGACTGTGTTCAACTTTGCTTTAAGTTTATAACATTACTACTCACGTTACAACCATTTATTTTGTCTTCTCTGATAGGAGAAAGTATATCTAAAAACATAAATGGAGCATACCAGTAATATACTACTGTGTGTCTTATGGTATGTTTCCCATTCAAATTTTGGTAATGTTAAAATTCCAAACAGTTATATACATTTTGTGGTTTTTCTCACTGCATCTCCAAAATGTCCACACTGGCACTTGTGAGATAACAAAGACAATTATTTCATTATTACCCAGCAACCCAAAATGCTAAACTGCATCTGGGATAGTTTAGGATTATGAAAGAAACAGCACAGCATGTGACCCTGCAATACAGAGTCCTTCGGCACATATCAAAAATAAATGGTTTGGGATTTTTTTTTTAATTGTAGAAATCATCTGGTGAAAATTTAGGGCCACCCAGTAACTCCTTCTCTTTGGAGCTGTGATTTTCATCTTCATTAAGTCAGCCTTTGAGAGGGTCAGATGGCATTCTCATAACTAGGTCCCTGTACTGGTTCATCGAATTCCAGGCACTGTGGGACCCACAGCTGGCTGAACTTCAACTCTTACTGAGCAGAAGCACTCTCTCCTCATGAACTACAGTAGTCAGCTAAAATGTTCCAAGTTGAAATTAAGTTTCACAGCTATTGCAAGATCAATTTTAAGGCTTTTGAGAAAACAGAAACAGTGCTGTCAAATGACTTACGATTAAGCAGAAATATATGTCAAGTCTGTAGCATTTTAAAATGACTCATTTCTATTCAGATCCAAAGGTCATGACCTACCCCTAAGTAGGAGGCCTGAACTAAGAAGCAGGACCTCTGTTGACCCCAACTCTGCTAGCTGTATGATCAACTAGGCAAGCCACTATAACTTTTGGAAAAATCATTTTTATCTGTAGAATGAGGGTATATGGCTACTAGATTTTTCTCCAGGTCATTCCTCCCCTACTCCTACCATTTTATGTTTCAATTTAGTCACTGTAGAACATAGTTCTACAGTGACTAAAGGAAACCAAATTTCAACAAAAGTAAGACCTTTTGATTAAAATAAGTGTGGCTCAAGACAATTCTGGTACCCTTGACTGACTTTTTGTATATTTCATGCACCATGTAAATCACTAGTTAAAATCATATGAGTTTTCAATGGGAAATAGCTTGAAGATTATGAGACCAAATGTCTCAAACTATGGAAAACAAAAAAAGGGAGTCAGTCAAAGAAGTAAATTATCTATAACTAGCCCATGTCATTAGAAAATCTCTTTTCACCAATCACAAAATAGCTCTTTTTAGCATTTTTTTTCCTGCCTGTGCATTCTTTCTAGTTCATCACCAAAGAATACACAGCAACAGAGATGAGGAACCTTCATCCTTGGTCTGGAATTCTTTAAGCTTGCTTGCATCTTTTAAAAACTTAGGTGTAGTTTTCTTTTGTTGAGTTGCCCATTCGCCTGTGGGTAGGATGCAATTTTAAATCTATTATCTGTGCCTGAAGTACCTGCTTTGTAATCCAAGACAAGATGCTGATAAAACTGTGCCAGATGCCAAAATGATGTTTCTTTCTGGTTCCAGAGTCTCAGAGGTATTCAGTGGCTTTAATGACCTTGGATGAGAGAGGCAGTCTGGTCAGGACATTGAATAACAGCCCTCTTTTCTTTTCTGCCAACAGCATAAAATTCTCATTTTTCTATAAACCCAACATTTTTATTATTATGCATATTTAATTGCAATCAGTTTTTTTTCCTCTAGTTGCTGCAGTGGTTTTGTTCTTTTGAATTCTGGATTATTTGTCTTTTCCCACAAAGCATCTATATGTGTACTTTGAAGACAAGGTCCCGACTAGGAGTTACATGCTTGATACTTAGGTAATTGAGGTTCCCCCCTAGAAAAGCAAGAATTCATCTCTGGGCTTATAGCCACACTAAACATTATTCCATCTCAGTGCATTAGAAACTCTTAAGGAAAACTCTTACTGCGTAAGGGGGAGAAAAAGCCTATTTTTATCCCAAATTCAAGTTAACACTTACTTGCTTAAAATCACTTTTTCCAAGTGTTGTTCTGATTTCTTTTGGAGGTCCCTGTGACCCTGAGTGCAGTGAGGTGGGCTGTGATGGGCCAGGACCCGACCACTGCAATGACTGTTTGCACTACTACTACAAGCTGAAAAATAACACCAGGTAAGAGAGATGCCCCATCAGGGTACCGGAAGCACGCTCCCAGGTGACCGTTCCTGGGAGCTCCCACGGTTCACCAGGGGCGGGGTGTTCCATGGTCTCCCCCCAGCACCGAAGTCCAGATGCTGCTGCACAGGCCCCTACCCCTCGCTGCATCATTCGAATAGTGAAACTGATACTGAATTATAAAACACCCAATTTTGGTCTGTAGGCTAGGAAACTGCAGAGGTCTTTTCTCATATTTCAAAGGATGATGGGGAGGGGCTAGATATGCACATGCCTGATCTTCCCTTCTAGACCTTTCCATCCCACTGACATTTGAGGCCCCACAGCTGCACTTTCCCTCCAGGAAATGATGATTTTCTGAATTCCTCAAAGTGTAAGCTTTCCATGTGGCAAAGCCGCTGGTCCCTGTTCGTTCTCACTGCTCTGAGGCGGGCCTGCTTGAACCCATGCTTCGAGCCCCTGGCTTCTGCCTTGAGCGGATATGTATCCACAGGGACGGCTGTGGAACACAGCCCATCAGAAGCCATGTTCTTCCAGGCTGCTTCCCACACCCCTAACACCTCTCCCTCCTGTTTCAGAAGAAAACTCACTCTGCGAAGCCAAGCTGCAGGGTAGCCACACTCCAGTCACCCAGGTCCCCTCCCTGTCACATCCATGCTGGAATTTCAGTTCCTTAAAGGGAATATAAAGCAAAAATTAAATTTAAAAAGAATTTTTAATTAAAAATAAATTTCTTAAAAAGGAAAAGTCCTTGGCTACCCCAGCCCCTCTCATTATGTCCTAGACTGGCAAATGCCTGACATTTAATTAGTACTCAGTAAGTACTTGTTAAATGAATAAGTAAAGCCCAGACCTTCAGTTATGGGCAAACAAAGAAGTTTTTTTTTATTTTTATCATAAACAGCATACATTTTCAAATACATTTTTTTTCTTGGCTATGCCACACAGCTTGCAGGATCTCAGTACCCCAACCAGGGCCTGAACCCAGGGCTGCATCAGTGAAAGCCCAGAAACCACTAAGCCAGTAGGGAACTCCCTAAATATATTAATTTAGACAATAGCATACACACCCCAGAATTCATATAATAATACACAACAATAGAAGTTAATCCCTTATCTTCCCTTCAACCCAACAGACACCCTTCTTGTCGAGACTCAGTTCCTAACCATCATCCCCTTTAAAGAGCTAGACCCGAACTGGAAGACAATTTGGAGCAAGACATTCCTTGCTTGATGGACTTGGTATTATGTAACTGCAGTGCTACGTCAGCACCCTACATACGAGAAGGCTTACCCTTTGGATGTTTAAAAAGGATTTTGAGAATGAGGACCGCTGTGTGCTCAGCACCTTACTTACTCAGGACTGCATCTCTGGTGACACTGCTCTTCTTTGTCATTCCACAACGCAGAATCTGTGTCTCCAGCTGCCCTCCTGGCCACTACCATGCTGACAAGAAGCGATGCAGAAAGTGTGCCCCCAACTGCGAGTCCTGCTTCGGAAGCCACGGGGACCAGTGCCTGTCCTGTAAATATGGATACTTCCTGAATGAAGAAACCAACAGCTGTGTCACTCACTGCCCTGATGGATCATATCAAGACACCAGTGAGTTGATTCCCAAATTTGGTTTTAGAGAGGAAATATAAGGTTTTCACTTGAACGACCTTGGGAGGGCTAGTCCCCCTCATGACATCTAGGCCCTTTCTTAATATCAAAAAGGAGCTAGTCAATTTTTAGAACACTAGAATATTTTGTAAAAATGAATTTGTGGAAAATTTTGCAAAACTTATTGTGTAAAAATGCCTGTAACTAACTCCTTCAAGGGGTGCTCTGCCTCACCCTCAGATTCACTGACTTCCTAGGAGGACCCACAAGATTCAGTATATAATTGTACTCAAGAACTCATGGTTATAACTTACTATGGTAAAGAGATACAGAGTAGAATCAGCAAAGGGGAAAGGCATACGGGACAAAGTCTGGAGGAAACTAGGTGCAAGCTTCCAAGAGGTTTCTTCCCATGGAGTGACACAGGATACATCCCATTCCCCATCAAAAATCTGTGACTTTGTGTGAATGTCAGCTACCAGGGAACCTCCCTAGAGTTTCAGCACCCAGAGTTGTAACTGGGATCTGGTCACGAAAGCTCCTCTGGTGGCTCAGTGGTAAAGAATCCACTTGCCAATACAGGAGACATGGGTTCGATCCCCGGATTGCAAAGATCCCCTGGAGAAGGAAATGGCAATCCACTCCAGTATTCTTACCTGGAAGATCCCATGGACAGAGGAGCCTGGCGGGCTACAGTCCATGGGGTCTCAAAAGAGTCAGACCTGACTTAGTGACTGAACAAAAACATGAAGGCACCCTCTGCCTATAACATACCAAAATTCCAGACTCTGCAAAGGAAAGCAGGTATTCAATACAAACCATATTGTTTCTACAAACAGTTTAGGCACCATGAGCCACTCTAGTCAGGGTAGTGGGAAACCATGAAATCCAGCTTCCCAGATGTCAGCCATGGGCTAACCTTACAAGGATAGCAGCCAGGCCTGCTTTTTTCTGCATATTAAGCAAAAGAAACAGACCTTTATGATATCAGTAAGGTTAAAAACATAACTTGAAAGTCTGGAAATTTATCAGAGAGTTATTTAACCCAACAATAAAGGAACCTAAAGGTGATAATTGGGTTTAAAGACTATCAGGTATTACAGTCCACCAGGAAAGGCAAATGAACTCCATTTGCTGAGTTAGAAAAAAAACTGAATAAATTTCATACATGAGAATACAATTAGAATTTTGGAGGGTTATTTTTTCAAATGGGCAGAACTCACTTGCAACTTTTATCAAACAAAAATTTATAAATTAACATGTAACTTCATAGAATGTAGGTTCTAATCAAATGCCATTAGTAAACAGAGAAGGCATACTCCCTAGAGAATTCTGTAATCCTCGGGCACTCCTCTCTTTAGACAGTGCTCTAGTATAGCCCTGGTAAGGACTGCAGGAATTTTTTGCTTTATTTCTGAACCCTGGATAATATATCTGAATGAGAGTGTCGCACCACAGTATGACAGTGAAATTTCTTGTTTCTACCCAACTGGAGAAAAAAGAAAACCCAACTTTAAAGGAAAAAGAGTAGTTGTTTTTTTTTTTAAAGCAGCAAGAATTTTGAAGTGGACACCCTTGCTCCTTAAGAAGTTTTCTGATTCAAAGACAGGCAGCACTTCTCTATGAGGGAGCTGGGGCTTTTGACTTACCTTTAGAGCAATGGGGAGGGGTTCCAGCTGTAGTTTTTATTTTCCCTCAAATTTGGAACATGACCTGCAACTTGATGGAAAAAAGAGAAAAAGAATGTGGAGCAGACCTAAGGGATCAGAAGTAAGTAGTATTCCTTGAAGAAAAAATTCAAAATTCTGTCAAGAAGCCTGAACCTTGGAAAAGATGCCCAGCCCCAAAGAGTGGTTGTGAACCAGCTCTTCCCCCATCATGTGCCTTGGGGGGCACGCCTGCGCCACCACCACTGCCAAGAATCCCAGGACTGGGCACACCCTATATCAAGAGGATGATGACCAGCACATACTGAGGAAAGAGGCAACAGGCATCGGTACTAAAACAGCCCTTGCACCAAATGTATTAAACCCACACAAGCTACACATGAACTCCGCCACATATAAACAGCCCTCCAAGACCACGGTAGGTAATTCTTTCTCTTAAACTCACAAGGTAAGAGAAGTAAAATGAAGAAGAGAGGAACTACTCTCAGTTAAAAGACCAAGAGAATTCCCCTGAAAGAACAATGAAACAGACCTTTTCAGCCTAATAGACACCAATTTTTTGAAAGGACTTAATGAAAATACTGAAGGAATTAAGAAAGGCTATTGACAGAAATGCAGAATACTGTAAAAAGGAACTAGGAACTAGAAAGAGAGATCAAGAAAAATTAGAAAAACTCATTTACAGAGATGAAAGCTGAGCTAATGGCGATGAACAGCACAGTGAACATTACAGAAGACTGAATATGTGATCTGGAAGATTGGATTATTCCCTTTATCATATCAGGACAGCAGACAGAAAGCCAAATGGAAAAAAAAACTAGAAACAATATAAGAGACGTATGGGATAGTATAAAGCATGCCATTGTACACATGATGGGGATTCCAGAAGGGGAAGAATAAGAAAAGGGGGCTGAAAATGCATTTTAAGAAATTATGGCAGAAAACTTCCCAAACCTAAAGGAAACAGGTATAAGGTACAGGAAGCACAGAGAGTTTGAAATATGAGAAACCCTAACGGATCTATGCCAAGACATATTATAATAAAAATGGCAAAAGATAAAGAGAGGATTCTGAAAGCAACAAGAGAAAAACAGAGTTAACGACAAGAAAACCCCCATAAGGCTATCAGCTCATTTCTCTACAGAAATGCTGCAGCCAGGAGGGCGTGGCAAGATCATAGTCAGAGCCCTGAAAGGGGAAACCCTGCAACCTCCGATACTCTATCCAGCAAGACTACCGCTTAGAATAGAGAGAGAGAGAGTTTCTCAGATCAAAATCCAAAGAATAAAACAGTACTAAACCTATCCTAAAGGAAATATTAAGGCCTTCTCCAAATAGAAAAGAAATAATCTGTAGGTAAGAGAAAATCACAGTTGGGAAGTAAAGTGATAGTTCCTCAGTCGTGTCTGACTCTTTGTGATCCCATGGACTGTACAGTCCATGGAATTCTCTAGGCCAGAATGCTGGAGGGGGTAGCCTTTCCCTTCTCCAGGAGACCAGGAACCCAGGTCTCCCACATTGCAGGTGGATTCTTTACCAGCTGAGCCACAAGGGAAGCCCAAGAATACTGGAATGGGTAGCCTATCCCTTCTCCAGCGGATCTTTCCAACCCAGGAATCAAACCAGGGTCTTCTGCATTGCAGGTGGATTCTTTATCAACTGAGCTACCAGGAAAAAAAAACCAGTAAACTGATAAGCCAGTACACAAATTTAAAATTAAATCAAAAAATTTCTATGAAAGTAACAACAATTAAAATGAACAGCAAAAGGACAAACATGAATGTTTTGCTGAAAGTTTTATCTCATTTTCAGTTCAAAGGATTAGTTAACAAAAGCAACCACTCATTGCACACACAATGAACAATTTTAATATTCTAGTAGAGGATTATTTGACTTAGTTTCAATTATATAGTCATTAAAGGAAAGAAATAGAAGCAATACAGAGAAGTAAGAACATACATTATCACCAAATTGGGCCGACAACCGACATCTAGACTTGAATAGTGCTTTAAAGTCCTGAATGACAGCAATCTGGAGTTCCAGTTGGGAAACGGTCCCAGGAAGTGTATACACTCCACGGGTTAAGACTTGAAATTGCAGTTTTTGGAGCTCCTGCTTATAATCCCAGGCCAAAAACTGATATATTCATCATTTTGTATGCAAAACAGCAGCCCTGGTTTTTTCCTTTAACTTTTACAATGCTATTTGTTTCTCCTTGTGATTCATAAGACTTCTTAGACCCTGGAGAGGGGAGGGGGCTGGTCGGGCCCTCAAGGGCTTAAGAAAATTCCAAGACCCACTAAACTTTCTTACATAAAGTGCCCCTTAACTTTCCAGCAACAAGTGGTGTACTTAGAGGCAGGCACACAGTCCTGGCAAGGTCAGAAGTCAGAGGCCTGCTCTCCTGCTTCTGAAGCCTGAACAAGACTACCTCTATTTTAATTTCCCTAACAATGAAGATATGAAAGAGGACATCAAAGTTATAAAATGTGGAGAAGAGCTAAGAACGTATAGACTTTTACTTCTCCTACAATGTGTTTGAGCCTGTATGACTATCAGTCTAAGGCAAGTAGATATACGAAGGGGTTAACATAATTGAAAAACAGGATAACCACAAATCAAAAACATACAGTAGATTCACAGAAACCAAAGAGAAGAGAACATTAAGTGTATAATACAAAAGAAAATCAAACCACAACAACAACAACAAAGTGACAAAGAAGAAATTTAAATTAAATGAGAAAGCAAGGTTTAAAATGGCAATAAATACATATCTATCAATAATCACCTTAAATGTCAATGGTCTAAATGCTCTAATCAAATACACAGAGTGGCAACTTGATTAAAAAAATACAAGAGCCTACAATATGCTGCTTATAAGAGACCCATTTTTAGGGCAAAGGATGCACAAAGATTGAAAGTGAGGGGATAGAAAAAGATATTTCATGCAGATTCAAAAGAAAAGAAAGCAGAGGTCGTAACACTCTTATTAGACAAAATAAACTTTAAAACAAAGGCCATAAAGGAAAGTAAAGAAGGATACTATACACACCACATCAACAAATTAAAGAATAAAAACCATATGATCATCTCAACAGATGCAGAAACAGCTTCTGACAAAACTCAACATCCATTTATGATAAAAACTCTCCAGAAAGTAAGCATTGAGAGAATATATGTCAACATAATAAAGGCCATATGTGACAGACCTACAGCTAACATCATACTCAACACTGAGAAGCTGAAAGCATTTTCCCTTAGATCATGAACAAGACAAGTGGGTCCACTTTTGCCACTTTTATTCAACATAGTTTTGGAAGTCCTAGCCATGGC